GAGTATCTTAGATGGCTGCTCACAGGCTTTTAAGGCCCCAGATGCTACTCACCAAGGTAGAATGTAGAACGTTTTCTTTATAAACTATGTTATGCCATTTGAGCTAGATGTTCCCCAAGACTGTAGTCCCCGTATCCCTCCGCCCAGCAGTTTGGTCCCTCAGGGAGTTTGGATGTGTCTGTGGAGCTTCCACGATCCTGCCTTGTACAAGTTGTGCTGGCTTCCGCAGTATTGTGTACTGTCTTACCCTTCACCAAAGTTACCACTTATGTATTGTTTATTTAGTGTTTTTCCATCCTCACCCCTACCCTCCCTTGTAACCATCAAAGATTGTTTCTTTTTGTGTGTAAACCTTTTCATGAGCTTTTAGAGTAGTGGTCTCATACAATATTTGTCCTTTTGTGATTGACTCATTTCACTCAGCATAATGTCTTCCAGATTCATCCATGTTATGAGATGCTTTGCAGCTTTGTCATTGTTCTTTATCGTTGCATAATACTGCATTGTGTGTATGTACCATAGTTTGTTTATCCATTCATCTGTTGATGGACATTTAGGTGGTTTCCATCTTTTTGCTATTGTGAACGATGCTGCAGTGAACATGGGTGTGCGTATGTCTATTTGTGTGACGGCTCTTATTTCTCTAGGGTATATTCTTAGGAGTAGGAATGCTGGATTGTATGGTATTTCTATTTCTAGCTTTCTAAGGAAGCGCCATATCGTTTTCCAAAATGATTGTATCATTTTGCATTCCCACCAGCAGTGCATAAGAGTTCCAATCTCCCCCCAGCCTCTCCAGCATTTGTTATTTCCAGTTTTTTTGATTCGTGCCAGTAATGCTGAGGTGTCATTTTTCTTTTTTAATAGCTTTTTTGAGATATAATTCACATGCCATACAATTTACCGTTTTAAAGTATAGAATTCAGTGGTTTTTAATCTGTTTACAAAATTGTGCAACCATAACTACTTTCTAATTCCAAAATACTTTCATCATCCCTAAAAGAAACCTCCTTCCCATTAGCAGAAGGGCAGTGATTGTTCAGTGGTAGAATTCTCACCTTCCATGTAGCAGACCCAGGTTCGATCCTTGGCCAGTGCACCTCAAGCGCAGCCACCACCTGTCTGTCAGTGGAGGCTTGTGTGTTGCTGTGATGCTTTACAGATTTCAGCAAAGCTTCCAGACTAAGACAGACCAGAATCAAAGGCCTGGTGACTGATTTCCAAAACTCTGCCAGTGAAAACCCTGTGGATCACAATGTTCTGATCCCATTGTGCGCAGGGTCACCATGAGTCAGAGCGGACCTGACAGCAGCTAACAACAACAACCCATTAGCAGTCATTTCCCATTCCCCTCTCTTTCCAGGCCCTGGCAACCATAATTACTTTCTATCTGTATGGATTTGCCTATTCTGGACATTTCATGTAAACAGAATCATACAATATGTTGCCTTTTGGGTCCAGCTCTTACCTCTACCATTTTGTCTTTCAAGAAACACAATCAAGAAAAATTTGGAAACAGATGGTGGTGATTGTACAACAGATAAACATAATTGATGCCACTGAATTGCATATGTAAAACATATTGAAATGGCAGTTTTGTTATATGTATCTATTTACCACAAAAAAGAAACCAATCAGAATGTAAATGACTAAGAGTAATGTTGGAATAACATAAAATAGGCTGTAACTTTGGTACTCATTTGTAACAAATCATTTTCACTACATCTTACAGATTAATAGTGAAGTGGAAAGCTACTGCTCTAGTAAAAGCTAGTGTAATGTAAAACCCCAAACCAAACCCATTGCCATCAAGTCGATTCCGGCTTATAATGACCCTATAATGTAGAGAAAGATAAAAGACAATGAGGTTCAGAAGAGAAGGATAGGACATTTGGGTTGGGTCTGATCAAGTAACAAAGATTTGAGTATTGTTTTTTTTCTTTTTTTAACTTCTTCACTGTTTTATTGAGTATTGGTCTTTAATGGTTTTATTTTAATAAATAGATGTGACAAGTAATTTAGGTCGTTGTATATTTGATGGAAATAAGGCATAAGTGGGCTCAGGAGTATCCTTAGACTTACTGAAAAAAGAACAATTTCTTAATTGCAGCTAATCGTTTTTTACTTTGGCATTAGTTTTAAAGCACATGGGAAGGCTGTAGGCTTATATTTTCTGATAATATTTTGTTAAATAAAATTAGTAGAATGTGTTAAGTGAAAAAAAGTACTTTTTAACATCTGTATAAAGTATGTATGCTCATCTTTTAAATTCTTTTACTTTTTTTTTTTCTTACAGGGTTTCAGACAAAATCAAAAAGAAGGAAAGTGTTCGCATTTCAATTAAGGAGTAAGTCTGCCATCACTGAACAAGTGAATCTCACATACTTTGTGGTTTGTGGAAAACAAATCATTAAAAATTGGAAGTATAATGTGATAACAATATTAAAGACGTTTTGATGCCAAAACTCGTAGATGAGAGATCAATCCCCAGCCACACTGGAAGTCTCATGGGGCCAAAGTATCATCTTACCAAATATTTGCTGATTAGTTGTGTGTGAGAATTTAATCAAGCCTTTAGATCTAATTTCCCATTTACAGGAAATACTGGGGATAAAGGAACAAGTTACATGACACCACTAAAGAAATAATCAAACAAGTCCGGAATGTGGAGTAGAAGATAACTGCCCTCATTTCTTAAAAATAAATCAAAGGGGGGGTGTGGGATAACTCTGAAAAAAAAAAAACCAAACCTGTTGCCGTCGAGTCGATTCTGACTCACAGCAGCCATACAGGACAGAGTAGAACTGCCCCGTAGGGTTTCCAAGGAGCACCTGGTGGATTCGAACTGCCAACCTTTTGGTTAGCAACCGTAGCTCTTAACCATTACGCCACCAGATTTAGGAGATTTCAGAGACATAATGGCCAAATGTAATGTGGAATCCTTGATTGGACCCCGGTTTGTAAAAACTATCTATAAAACACATGGGGAGAAGAAGAAAAAGACATTGAGGAAATTTTAATATGGACTGGATTTTAAATATTAGATAATTATTGCTGATTTTATGAACTGTGATAAGGGTGTTGTAGTTTATAGGAGAATGTCTTTTTTTTAATCTGTGTGCTGAAGTATTTAGGAGTGAAGTGTTACAATGTTTCTAATATATTTTAAAATGGTTTAGCAAAGTGTGTGTGTGTGTGTGTGTGTGTGCATGAAGCATATATGGCAAAATGTTAATTACTGAGTCTAGGTGGCATGTATATAGATATTTTACCATTTTTTTCTATTTTCTGTGTATTTGAAAAGTACATAATAAAATGTTTAACATTTTTAAACTAAGTTTTAAGAAATTATGTGTCATATTCAAATTTTTGCATTTCATTTTGCACTTTTGGTCCATATTTATGTATTTTTGATATGAATGCCATCATAACATTTTATGTGTTTGCATATATCTAGTTAATATCACATTTTTCATGTTGTTACATTTTCTTTTTGTCAGATTGTTTGCCTACATGATATGCCACTATTCCTTTAGTTCAGTAGGTTTTGCTGTTCTGGATAATGTTACAGTAAATATCTTCATATATGTAATAATCTGATTCTTTTCTGTCATAGCCTTAGGATAAATCTCTGTGATGTAACTATTTGATAAAGGTTATGGACATTATAATGATTTGTGGTAGATGTTTCTATGTTGCCTTGAAAAGCAAGTTTTTGAAAATCACATTTTCAGAATGAGAGATGCATTCCTGGCAGAGGAGGGTATTTTTTTTTTATTATATGATCTTCACATTTAAGAGTATAATTACTTTTTGATTAAAGTAATCTGTATTAAATTGAAATTCTTCATGTGGATTATTCAGCCAAGTCTAAAAGAGTGAAGAGAAAATTTAGGTAAGGAGATGAGATGGGTTAGAGTGTTCTAGGTAGAGATGTACAGAACTGAAAGCATCAGAGTACGATGTGTTTAGAGGCATAAGGTAGCTTAAATGTTACATCACTATGCCTAATACCACCCAACCACCCTTATCCACCTCTGCTTTCCTAATCCGTGGAATTCCCCCCTTTGAATATGCTCTCTATTTATTTCTAAGATATAACTTTTCACATGATATTATCATTATTGTTTATGTATCTGTGTGACTCATTAGAGGGGGCAGGTACTATGTCTTGTTCTTCACTGTGTCTTCAGTATCTGGCACAATTTTTTGAATGAAGTCTAGGATGTGCTTAAAGCATAAAACATGAAGGGAGGAGGAAGGAATGTCATGAGAGGGAAAATGATAAATGGAAGATCTCAGAGTTGTTTTTCAGATCAAATCTTTCATCATAGAGGGTTAGGCATCAGTTCTATTTTCTGCTGTTTTTTTTTTTTCTTTTTCAAGGTATTTTATTTGTTTTTAAACTTATCTTGAAATCATTGTAGATTTCCAGAGGATTGCAAAGGTAATACACAGAGTACTCTTATACCCTTTACACAGCTTCCTATAATGTTAACATCTTTTATAACCGTGGTACATTTATCCAAACTAAAAAACTACCATTTGGTACAATACTGCTAATTGAATGATGGACTTTAATTGGATTTCCCATTTTTCCGCTTGTGCTAGCTTTGTGTTTGTGTGTATGTGTGGTAAATATATATACAACAAAACATTTGCCATTTCAGCATATTTCACATTTACAATTCAAGTGATATTAATCATTGGTATCCATCACCCTATTTCCAAATTAACTTTTGCTAGTTTTAAAAAAGACTTTTTAAATAACAAATTTTACCTTAAGTGAATGATTTTGAAAGTTGAGTTAATGTGATTATATTTGACCTAGGTTATTTTTAGGCACAGTTTACCTTAATTTAAATATTGAATAATAAAGCACCTTTCCCCTTAAGTACAGAGAGAACAAAGCCATCACACTGTATGTCTGGACAGTTGTTATCAATTAAATGACGTTAAGTGATTGCCATTAACAGAAGTAAGCTACAGGGTTAATGCTTTTAAATATTTACAAACTAAGTCATAAGTAGTTTGAAGCTCTTGGCGAATGGAAAAACAGTGGATTCAATTCAGAAATCAAATTCTTGAAGTTTATCAAGAGCAACTCCTTCTACACAAGCCTCTATTTTATATACAGCAATCAGTAGGAGACATTTTACACTCTGTTATCTCACTAAATATTTGGCATTAGATCACTTTTATTTATGAATCGTGCTTTTTCAAGAGACTTAACAGCACTTATATACAATTGGTTCTTTGCCAGTACTTTTTTTGAGGTTTAAATTACATACAGTCAAATGCACAGATTTAAAGTGTTTGCTCAGTTTTGACAGAGCTGTGCCCTTGTTACAAACACCTCAATCAAGATACAGAACATACCACTCAACCCAGGAAATCCCTTTGTGCCCCGTTCTCACCCCCAGTAACCACCCTTCTGACTTCTATGGGCAAAGAGTCGTTTGTCTGTTTTAGAATGTTGCTTAATGCAATCATGCAGTGGGGACTTTTGTACAGCATTACTTTTTTAAGATATATTTACTTGAGTTCAGCTATTGTCCTGAGATAATATGTGTAGCGTATTATGAAGATACTGAGTATTACAGTTGGAGAAACTAGTTTCTGAACTTTGAAGTTTTTATCCTTTTATTATTAGTTATCACGACACATAAATTAACTTTTTATATTTAAAAATGACATGTAATTTAGGGTTGAGCTATAGTCCACTTTCAGTAAAACATGCTAGTTCTTGGTTTCCGGGTAGCAGATGACAAATGTGAAGCAGTGTTGCTAAGCATTAATGGGCCTTTGTGTTTAGATATAGACTTTTGGTTAAGAGTAAACAAAATCTCATTTTACAAATCTTGGTTTCAGTAGACTCTTAGGTATGTTTTAGTAGATTTGGGTTTCTGTTGTAAAGGAAACTCGAAACTGCCACATGAAATTTATCTTTCCTTTATTAGTAATAATAATAGCTGTGCTTTTTAAGTGATTACTGTGTGCTAGGCATAGTTATTTCATTTAATCTTTATAGCACTGATTGAGTTAGATACTATTATTCCCATTTTACAGATGAGAAAGCAGACTCACAGAGGTGAAATGATTTGCCTTGGGCCACATAGCAAATGGTGGAACTCTGTACGGCCTCTGAACTTTGTCCAGCTCTCAGCCCCCAGCAACTGCGTCTGCCAGGCCCCTTGGAGTCTTGTCCTGCACATGTAGAATTTAGGATTTGGGCAAGGACTCAAGTGGAACTCCTACACAGATTTCTGGAGCTCTTTCTCTGCAAATCCCTCCTCTCCTGACCCTACCTCCTCAAATTCAAGCTGCCTTATTCCTATGCCCAAATTCCAATCTGTTTCTTCCACCCAGGAAGACCAGTACTCTGCTTGGGCTCCACCTTCCATCCAGCAGCCTGAATGGGGTGAATTTGAAGCCCACCTAATGTGTTTCCCTTTTACAAGGGTCATAGCCCTGTGCTGTCTGTTTGTCCAGTGCCTGAAACCAGTTGTATCATCTGTTCTGCCCACCTTTATAGTTCATGGCAGGAGAGCAAGTCCACTACTGGCTACTCCTCCTGTTTTTTTAAAATACTAATTGACGTAAACAAATGTTTCATCATTTTCTTCATGAACACTTGGCTGGATGGCACAATTCATCAGTATCACCTTTCCCATTTTTGGAACAATACTTAGTTGCGTGTTTTATGAAAGATTAGTCTACTCTGATGATTAAAATAAAATGTACTAAATGACAATACTGCACTCTATACATCTTAAGTACATAAGCGTTAAATGTCAAATTTGGGATTATTGATACATATTTTTACACAGCAGTGATAAATCTATTTTGGGCTTTTTTGCTTAACATTATTTCGTACAATTATTTTTGTGTATTGATGATTAATTTCATATACGAGGTCGTAGATGCTAATTAGTTCTGTAGATCATCACATGTTGTCATATTGCTCCTTCCCCAAAAGAACCTAGTTAATACTGCCCTCATTCTTCACACTTACTTAATTGTTACAGTTTATTTAAGAATTATTTCTTTCTCCATTGTTATTCTTGGTTATATAAAATAAAAGTTCTGAAATAGTTTGAATTTAGTTTTTGGGTTTTTTTTCCCTTTCCAGTATTTACTAGCATTGTTACTATGAATACTTAAAGATAATCCTAAAGTTTCCGAAGTGCACTGTCCATGCATTCGTCAGTAATTTAAACAAGATTGCCCACGTAAATTCACTGTCAGTTGGAAAGGAATCATCTAAATTAGAAACATGTCTACACAGAAAGAGTTACAATATCTAAACCCATTAGTTAGATAATTTAGGAGAAAGGAGAATGATTTCTCATATCCAGAAATTAGGACCTTAAAATATCAGCAATATTAAAAAAAACCCCATAGTTTCCTTTAGTTTACTCAGTCTTATGTAGTTAATTTCTGTTCCACGTGATTCTGGATCAGCCGCAGTCTGAACCCATCAGCTTCTGCATAGGAGTTCTGGAAATTTTATTAGTCTAGTCACAGTCCTTTTAGCAAGTCCAACATAGTCCATCTTTTGTTGAGATATTTTGGTCAAACTTTTTCAGCAAATCAGCAAAGTAAAAACTTAATCTGCAGATGACAAAACCCGTCAATTTCGAAGGGACATGGAGTGGGAACACGCGGGTCCAGAAGATAGGACGTATCTTTGTCGGCTTCTGCTCCGCAGTCCAGGTCTCTTCGAAGTTGACTGGATTCGTAGCTTCAGACCCTACTCACAGCGCCGTTAAAGTCAAAGTAGGCTAAAAGTCCAGTTTCAGGGTGTCAGCTCCAGGGGAAGGCTTTTCCACTCTGTCAGCCTTCTCTTCAGTGCTCCCCCGGACTAGGAGCTTCTCGGCACAGGGACCCCTGTCCAAAGGACGTGCTCTGCTCCTGGCACTGCTTTCTTGATGGTATGAGGTCCCCCTGAATTTAGTTTTTGAAACATTATTCAATTTATTTTTTTGATGTTTGTTAAAAACATAGTTTTAGTAATTATTGCCTCATTATATGTATAGAAGTCTGATAGGATTTATGTTTGAATGAAAAAAGTCCAGAACTGTGTATATTATGCTGCGTGTCATTTGTAAAACTATGTATTTATATATGTGTATGATTGTATGAGAATTGGTTATCAAGAACAATACTTGAGGTAAGTTACCTCTGAAAGGGGACTAGAAAACACAGGGATGTGAGAGAGACTTTTCACAGTATATTCCTTGGTATTTTACAAGTTTTGTGCCGTGTGCATTTATTGCCAATAAAAAATTAACATGTATTGAAAATAAATCTGGTAAAATATATCTATCTTCATTATTCCTTTAAACCTTTTTAAAATTTTATTTTTATAGGTTCTCATACAGTGTACTTTTATAGGTAAGTGCTTTTTCCTCTTACTGTATGTTGGAGAGCACTCCATATTGCTATGTAAAGCTATCTCATTCTTCTTTTTTTACAGTTTCAGAATATTCTTATATATAGTATACCATATTGGTCCCTTGTAGGTGACAATTTAGGTTGTTTCCAGTTGTTTGCTATTTAATACTACAGTGAGTATTCTTTTGTATAGTTCTTTTTGTAGAAATATGAATATGTCTTTAGGCTTAAGTATTTAAAAGTAAAACCACTGGATTGAAGAGTATATGCATTGAAATGTTTATAGATTTTTAACCAGTTGTTCTCAGTAGAGGTTGTATTAATTTATATTTCCACCAACATTGTTTCCCAAATATCTAGCTAATGGTTTATTGAACCTTTGGATCTTTGTCAAGCTTAAACTTAAAAAATGGTTATCTTGTATTTATGTCTTTTTGTGTATTATTTTTAAGAGCTATGTGTCTTCTTTTTTGAAAACCTTGTGAACATTACCTTTAAGTGCTTTTTAACTGGGTTTTTTTTTTTTTGGTCTTTTTAAGTTGTAAGAATTCTGTATAAGAGAAACCATGTCTTTGTGATATGAGTTTTTTTTTTCCCTAGGATGTCATTTATTTTGACTATGCTTATGGTGGTAGTGGTTGTTTTGACAGAAATGTTTTATTTTTAAGTAGTTAAATTGTTTAATTCTCATCTGTCTTTTTTATGGCTTTTGGGTTTTCTTCTAACGCTTCTATGTAAAAAAAAATTTTTCCCTGTAGTTATAGTTATTTTTGTATTACCATTTTTATTTTAGGTATTTGTGCTTACTCTATTTTTAAATTTTTTGCTTATAAAGTTTTATCTGTTTCTTTTTAAGTCATTTTAGAAACAACTTACAGAAGTAAAAATGGATAGTGAAAACTAACTTTGTTAGCAATTTTAATGAGAATTCAAATACAGCAAACTCAGATTTTACTGCATATTTTCCCAGTTTTGAATTTATATGTGTATCCAAAATAGGCAACATCCTTTTGATGCAACTAACTATTCATCAACTGTTATGCATGAACCTGGAACATATCTATCTTTTAAATACCGATTGCATATTTCAGATGCGTCTCTAATGTGTTCTAGTTTATCATTGCTTCTGATTGTTCTTGTACTTGCTTCATTAAAGCATAATACTTTTGAAGACTTTGATGGCTCATAGTTTTGTTGACTAGATATGTATGATGGCTACTGTGTTCCATTACAGCAAAGATTTTCATTTTTATATTTATAAACACCAATTAAAATGATCAGTCCAATGATTTTTATTTTCCATTTCTACATCATCTGTTATCTTCCACTTACGTTGTATATACAGCTGTCTTTAACATTTGTCTGCTTAAACTCTATCAAGTAAATTTTGGTGCATAAGCATCATACAAGATAAAAGAATGCCGTCATGTGTCCTTGTAACAAAACAGGATGCTTCAGGTCTTTATCACAAAATACTATATGATGACGTCTTTCCCGTTGAATGACTGTAACTGGATGAGAATACTATATTTCCTTTTTGTCCTTAGAAATAAATCATTTCTTGAGTTTGAGAAAATTCAACTAAGTTGTCCCCTGAGACTATCATCCCAAGGCTTTTAACCCAGTAAACCAATCCCAGGAGTTGTTTGGATATGTTTAGGAAGCCTCTGTAACTGTGCCCCCTATGTGCTTTGTTATATATATGGATATGTATGCAGCACACACAAACACATATAACCCATGATTTTGATAATTGCTGCTTTGTAATATGTTTTAAAATCAGGTAGAGCAGATCAAATACCAGTGTGCCTTAAAATTTTTAAAAAATGTATTTTTGCCCATTTACTCTTCCAAATGAATTTTGTAGCTAGTTTGCCTAATTATTTAAGTATCCTGTGAAGACTGAAATTAGTATTACATTAAATCTTTATATTAGCATTTTTTTAATATATATATTTTATTGTACTTCAGGTGAAGGCTTACAGAACAAATAGTTTCTC